TTGACAACTAACCTCCTATAACCGTTGATTTAATAAGAAAAACTCTTAGGTTGTTTCCTAAGCAAAAATTGTTATTCCACTTAACTTTAATGTAGTTTCCATTTAAACATTGTTTTTGAACCAGATATTCTTCTGTCACTTTCCTGCAAATTTTTTTTTCTGTGGGCTGCTGGGTAATAGAATTCTTTTCATCCTGCAAATAGAAGCTTCCCCAACTAATTATTAAACAGTCTTGTAGCATATAGAAAATAAAAAAATAATAGTTGACTGCATTGACCAAGATTAATGTATTTTTGATAAAGTGAAAGAAAACACTTTGTGGTGTTATAGTAACATTGAGGGAAAAACAATTATAATGGTTTCTTTGTCTGGTAAGTGAGGAGTTTTGTATTGTTTCACTATGTTTTCTTTCCTGCGATAACTAAGATGTTACTTTGTTGATCATTTATTTAGCACAAAGATTTTAGCAAAAAACTTCAAATCATTAACTTTCATTATTGATTGCGCATCCAAAGTAATGAACATAAAATGCACTGAATAAAATGTTTTGTCTAACAGCTGTTCAGTGGTGTGTTTTACCACCTTTTCTCCCAGCCTTCATCAGCAGCCTAATTTAGTATTGAGCCTTTTACAGTCTCGTGGGTAAAACACTTTAATTACCACTTTGTCAACTAGACTTTTTTAATTCTCCTTATTGGGAATGTTGCAGGCTTTGAAACTTCTCAACAGAATTGTGCTATTCAAATCACAGGATTGTATTTTGGGGTTAGGAAATCATCTGCATAATGTGGAGATCAGGAGGAAAGTGATAATAGGTGTTAAATCCAGAGAAGCTTGCGGGGGGTTTCAAGTTGCCCCCCTCTTTTTCTTTCTGAAATTAACATGGTTTGGCTCTAAACAGTATGTAGAGAAGTAAATAGTGGTTAACTTAGATCTTTCTAATATACTAAACAATTGCATCAATGCAGTGAATATATTTTAAACCATCTTTATTACAGAAAACTTTTTACAACGCTTTGAGAATTTCATTTTTTGAAGAGAGAACTGGATTATAGTTTTCTTTTGAATGATAGGTATGCCTGTGAAGCTTAGAACGTGTGTGCATTGCAATACGACGTTTACAAGTGCTGTTAGCCTGTCCAACCACTTACGCGCTTATGCACGAAAGAAGAGTGCTGGACTTTTGACTGGGACAGGTATGTTTTGTTACAGATGTAAAAAGCAAGTCTGTCTATGATGCATTTTCCTCATCAGACTGGACAAAATCATGTTAATCCAAAAAATAGTTTTGAAGCTTTCTCTGATGCACAAAAGTTGAATTTCAGCAACCCGTAAGCATATAGCTGTTGCTGTTTGTCCATTTTTCATGTCTGGTTTTCATTCCTACTGACTCTTGAATTTAGTGTTCCAGGTATGTAAACAAAGCTTAAGCTGTGCAACTTTCATTCATACCCCAAATGTAGCTACTGGCCCTTTATTAAAGGGACAGGACAATTTAAAGTATTTGGACAGGTAATTTTTACCTGTCCACCATTAGATGCCACCCTTAGAGTAGCAGAGTTGAAATAGATGAGAGTGATTTTATTGCTTATACAGCTAAGAGTATATTATGTAGTTAGTTTCCCAGTGGTTCACAGAGCCAGAATTGTTTGGTTGTGGGCCTACGGGATAAGCTTGGCCTCTTGCAGGCTCAGATCATGTGTTGTATCTGAGGCTACTTTTAATGTATCTATATTAAAATAGCTAGATCTCATGCTGGATAGAGTCCCTTGAATATTTTGTATTATGATCTGGAACAAGATGTAAAGCTCTGATCCTGCAGATGGCTGTCTGTACGTGAATTCTAGTACTTGCACAGAGCATTACAGAAGTCAGTGGGACTTGTTGTGGGCTGTAGTGGGGAAAAAGGAGTGTGAAAGGTAGGGAGACAAAGGGATAGGACTGAGGAAAATAGATGAAAAGCCTAGAATATGCATACCTACTAGGTAATAGGAAAGGCATTGGGTTATCACTACACAGAAAAACAAATATAGAAAGTCTATATACTAACTGGTAAGAGGCAGTGCCCCTACATCTTTATCCACAGATATACACAATTTACTATAGCATTTTATATTAATTATTTTCAGATTTGTAGAACACTGGTGTCAAACTTTTTCTGTGAGGAGAGCCAAAAATTTTTAATTATGGTTTGCAGACTGGGTCCATAAAGGCAGGGTCATAGGATTTAAAAATGAATCTCTTGTTAACAACAGAAAGTTTGGACAAAGTCTGCAGGTGGTATATGTTGGCACTGGATTTACGACCCAGCCTTGCTATCTTGTTTTAGGCAGATCCAAATCCTCAGACCAACCATAACTTTTTCCATTTGATAATAGGCAAATTTTATTGATATGCAGCGATAGCAGATAAGAGTAATGCAGGAAAAGTAAACAACCCCCCTCCCCTGCCCCAACCCTACTTACCTACCAGTTCCAGGGTTTTCACAGGGCAGTATGCCTGGCCAGTATGTGAGCGTCACCCTGTGGTTCTTTGCCTGCATGTCAGATATCAGCAGTCTTGGAGGTTGAGGGGCAATGCCCAACTCCTCTGGAGTGGACAAGATAGACTGGTGGTATGCCCTCTCCCCACACCCTCAGGATCCCCCCTCCTGCCCTAAAAATCCCTCCTTTTGTGTTCTATCTGTCCTGATAACTCCATTTCCGGGTACTGTTGATTGGTTTCCCTGTGGTCATCATTCTGTCCACATTCCATCCTGCCAGCATATCCCTTTGGTTCTCAAACGTTATCATATGCATACATCTTAATTTGGTCATTCACTGGTGTCTTAATTGGGGATCCCCAGCCTCCTATTTTGGTCATTTCACCAAAACCAAAAATCCCAGGGGCTTTGCAGCTGGTCACTGTGACCCAGTGCCAATTCTGCAGGTTCCTTATTTCTTGCTATGAGTTTTCAGGACGTTTTAAATTTTCCAGCCTGTCTGTCTGCTGGCTTCAGATGCAGTGTCTGCCTTGAAGGCTGAGAACGTGAAACTTTGTCACAAATAGACTTTTAGAAACCAGTTAACCCTTGCCATGCCCCTGAACCATTGTTATAATGCAGTGTTTACTTTACCTACAAGCCAGTTCCTAAAAGGAAGTCTCTAAAAATCATTTTCTAGCCATCAGTATACATTTATTTTATAGAAATATATGGATCTTATATAGTACTTGTTACATTTACTGCTTTCAGAATCATTCAGTGGAGAAAAGATGGAGGCATTTTATTGCCACAGTTTGTATTAGAGTTGTGTTTATATAGCAGGGGTGGGCAAAATATGACTTGCAGGCCCCACCAGAAGAATTGTACCCCACCCAGCCCTTCTGTCCATGTAGACAAACCATTCCCCTCCCCTTCCTCCAACATATTTTATTGTGCCTTGTTCCCACTCTTGTGTGAGGAAGGGCCCAGCCCAGCCAGTAGCAGCTTCTGGTGGGGCTGCTACTGCAGCTGCCCCGGGGGACGTGCTTGGTTTCCCTGGTAGGGAGGGGGCAGGGGCTAAAGGGGAAGCTGCAACTGGGTGGGGGCAGCAATTTGTGTGGGGCTGGCCCTGGAGCTCGCAGCAGCGTGGAGCCCATGGCCAAGGTAGTGGCAGAACCTCAGAGCTTGGCTGGGCAAAATGTGGGTGTGAGGGACAGTTGGAGGGAGGCTCTGGGAGCATCCCACACACTCCCCCACATGGTGCACAGCCACTGCGGCCAGCAGAAGGAGCAGGCAGGGGTGCTTGAGGCACTCGTGCCCTGCGCAGGCACATAACACCAACCAGCGCTGTGCATGGGGCGAAGAGCCCAACATGCCTAGTCTGCCTCTCTTGTGGGGGCTGCACGCAGCATGCGTGAAGCTCCTGCACTTGTGCAGCACCGAGGGATGCCCCACACTGGCTGCCTTTGTCACTCTCTGCTGTGCAGGTCCCAGGAGTCCATGTGGAAGCAGCAGATGGGGGCTCCCTTCACTCCTGGCAGAGTCCTGGGACCTGCACAGCAGGGAGCAGGGAAGGCAGCCAGCTCCAGTGCGGGGCTTCCCCTGATGCTGCACAAGTGTGGGAGCTGCACGTGTGCTGTGCGGCGCCCCCATAATAGAGGCGGGCTGGGCAGGCTGCACTCCTCACCCCCATGCGCAGCGCTGGCTGGAGCCACGCGCCACTGGCTGTACAGGGCTGGAGCACCCCAAGTGTCCCTGTGTGCTGCTGCTGGCAGCAGGGGCTGCACATAATGTGCGGGAGTGTGTGAGGAGTCCCCATGCACTCCCCCATTCTCCCTTACACACCCACACCTTGCTCCCACAACCTCCACACATATACACCCCCCCATACCCTGCAACACGCACACAGCCATACCCCCTCACAACCTCTGCCACACTCCCCCACACCCTGCCATACACACGCATACCCCCCACACACTTCACCATACCCCACTCTCCCCATACACAATATACAAGAGTAAGACTTTATTTTTGGCTTATTATGCAATCCCCTCTATATACACTACTCAAACACAAATCATGACAAATATTTTTTCTGATAAAATTAAAATATGTTATAGTAGGTGTTTGACTTCTTGTGTGTGATTTCTTTTTTTTTTTCTGGTTCCAAGATGGCAACCCTCCCCTTCCAAAAGGAGTATTTCCAGGTGGCAAGTGGAGGGATTTCCTGTGGCAAAGGTCAGGGATTGGGGACTTCCAGTCCCAGTATGGCAACCAGGGGGTGAAACAACTATCAAGGGGTGGGGCTACCCATGTGGTCCTTGACAACTCACCAAAACTTGTTAAGTGGCCCTCAAGCCAAAATAATGTCCCACCTCTGGTTTATAGGGCTGGTTGGGTTGTGCTTTTTATTTTATTTTTTTACCTTTGGCTTATCTATGGTTATTCAGCTTGTAGAGACAGTTGTCATTACAAAAGCGTGCACAATTGCACACCTAAATTATTAGAAAATACAGCTCTTACAATGATGTTAGATTTAACATCTAAACATCTTAACTGGGGATGCGCAGTAGCTTAGGACAGTGGTTCCCAAACTGTGGTACATGTTAAGTGGTATGCAGAAGGCTGGGGGGAGGGGCTGCACACACTGAACCAGCAGCAGCCTGCTGTACATGGCCAGAAACACAGAACCTACTAGGTAAGTGTTGGGGGGAAGGGGGGGCAGATTAAGGCCTCCATGGTGAAGGAGGTAGGGGAGCACAAGCAGGGACTGGGGTGAATGGGCCCCTGGGATGGGTGGTCCAATGGTCAGAGCCTGGGCAGCTCATTCAGGGACATTGGGGGTGGGAGGGGCTTCTCACCATTGTGCACACCCTGGGGCAGGGATGGGGGGCACGCCCCCTGGTTCTGTGTATGGGACAGAGGTGGGCTGCCTCTGTGATGGCCACTGGCCTGGGAGTCTCATGCAATGCCATGTGTCTGCTGTGTGCTGGCTGCACTGCATTTTCTGCCTGCTCAGCAGTGACAGGCACGTGGCGTGCTGTGCAGCTCCAGACGCAGCTGTAGCACTGTGCAGAGGGCAGCAGCAGCCTGCTGCTTCTCGGGGGTTTTCTCCCGTTGGGCCGGCTTGCCCCATCCCTGTGACAGGACCAGCACAAAGGCAGCCTGAGCCTTTCCAGGAATGCAGGGGGGACTCCCCCTTCTGTGTGCACCCCAGGGCAGGTATGGGGGCGCGTGTGTTCCCCAGATCTGTGTGCGGGGCTCTGCACCACATGGCGCTGCCTCTGGACCTGCATGGGAGGTGGGGACCTCCAGAGGCAGCAGGGTGTGGGGGCCCTTCTGCTGCTGTACTCACTCTGGGGCAGGCATGGGGGCACATGCTGCCCATGCCTGCTGTGGAGTGTGCACAGCCCCTCCCCACCCGCTACCGCTGCCTCCTACCGTGTGCTGGCCGAGTGCCTCCGCCTGCCTGGTGGTAGCAGGACATGGCATTCTGCCCAGGGAGTCCCTGCTGCAGCTTGGGGGATTGTTCACTGCTCATGCTGCACCTGGTGTGCACAGGCCAAGCAGGGAGCACACCCAAGCCTTGCGTCTTGCCCCAGCCAGGCGGCGTTCCCCTGCGGGCAGGACGGCTGTACCCCACCCCCATGGAGCTGCACGGCCCGGGCCAGGCCCCACCTCTGGTGCTGCTGAGCATCCCCACTGCGGCCTGAGTCCCCAGAACCCTGGGGCAGC